AGGTAGAGACAAGTACTGATTTGGGTGAAGGGAAGGGCAATGTACCAAAAGTGCGTGATCAACCAGTGGCGCTGAGGAAGAGGAAGACAGAGAGGTGCACAGAGGTGCAGGCAACAAAGATAAAGCCTTTTACATACACAACACTGTTTTCTCAGTGATAAGAAACATTAATCTATGGGTGGATACATAAGTAGACAGGCTAGATTATCAGGCATTGGCAAGCAAAAGGGAATATACCTATAACCATATATAAGATTGGCAGACAATGTTTTTACATATGTATTTGTATGTTCTATAGGAATGCCTATAGATATCATAAAGCTAACAAGAGGCAAAGCTATGATAACTTCGTAGTCACAGCCAAACACCTTGAAGGAGTGAGTCACTGGGCCCATGGGTCTTGGCCCATGGTCACAGGAGACATCAAGCTGAATTGGTGTAACATACTACACAAAAACGTTGTTCCACATCCTACCATGGTGAGTAGCAACTGGGGTCTTAAAAGCTAGCAAGCTCCCATAAGTTGCAACAATGGATCTTTCCTCATCCAGAGAGAATGAAGAAGAATGAAGAAAACCAAAGATGCATGGAAATAATTAGTCCAAGGGACTAGTATGACCATGAGACCAGAAGAATTAGATGGTGCCTGGCTACCACTGTCAACCACTAGGAAAAGGATCAGTGCAGGAGATCATGGATAGAATGAGGGAATAATGGCAACAAAACTCAAAAATCATAAAAAAAAAAAAAGACTAGATTTACTTGTCAGATAGCACCTGATGAGAACCCCAAGATTATGGCCCCTAGCTATCATTTGGGGGTGGGGAGCAAGAACACATAGGAAAGAAGGAGACAGGGAAGGGATAACTACAGGGAGGAAGTGGGAAGAGAGCTTTAACATGGTGGGGACTGCAGTCAATGTCATGGAACAAAATGTATATGAACTGCTGTATGGAAAATGAATTTACTCTGTAAACGTTCACTCAAATCACAGTAAACATATTTAAAAAAAAAAAGAATGGGCAGTGACTAGCTGGGTATCTTGTGAGCAGTGTTGGTCACCCCCCTACCTCACTCAATAAAAGGCCCCTGCAGTTCTCTTCCTCCTGCCTGAAAGGCTCTGTTAGGGAGTTGTTCTTTGTCTGCAGTAGTTCCATCATCTCAAGCCCTATTCAT